CAGAGTCATAGAGAGCACTCAGCCCACAAACACCCTCCCTCTGTCTGGTGGCAGGGAAGCAGGGATGGAGAGGGGAATGGCACCACCCTGGGCTTCCCTCCACGGAGTCTGGCTAGCAGTTTTCTTCCAGCTGGGGCATGGCTGGGGCTGGCTCTGCTGGGTACGCCATCAATTCTCCTTCTCGCACCAGGAGGATTCTCTTTCCTGCCCCCTCCACCATCACCCAGCGTCCTCCCCACTCCCCTGTGCCCGCTGGTGCTGAGGGGCGAACCGAATCTGTTCGGGTGTCTGTGGAACAGGTAAGGAGTGGTGATGGGGGGTGGGAAGCACCTAGCTGGGCTGTGGCCACGACATACTGGTCATTTATCTGGGGCTGGGGTGAGGGTGAGAGATAATTCATGCTTGTTGAACCCACACTAGGTTTCAGGCATGTGTCAGGAGCTTCGCCCACGTTATCTCCTTTATCACATCAGACTTTCCAATGCCGCACTTTCCAGCACACTTGACAGAGGAAACAGAAACTCAGAGAATCAGAATGGCATGCTCAAAGTCACTCAGCTAGGATGGGGCAGAGCTGGGTTTGGAGCCAGGTTATACACTCTTGTAGGTGACAAAAACCCCACTGCAGATCACTGGTGGCAGAATCTTCCAGATCGATACAGATATCAGTCCTGCACGGCCCAACTCTGTTCTCTGGAGGCTCTGAGCACCCCGGGTAAGTGTGGAGTCTTCCCACATGTAATCACCAGAGAACTAAGCCTGCCCCGTGTGAGAGCCACCTGCCTGGGCTCTGGAGTCAGTGATGGCTCTGGACTGGGGGCACATCCTGTGACCCCAGCTGTGACTCCTGGTGTGCCCACTAGGTACCCTCCTGCATGAGCGTGCTGAGGGTAAGACTACCCTGGCTGGCAGAAGCCTTTGTCTGTTACCGCCTTGGAGTTACTGGGAGCGGGGCGGGGGGGGCAGTTTCTGAGGCTGACTGGGGCGTGGCACCCTGCCACTGCCCAGAATTCGATTATGTCTTGAGTTCATACAAGTTCATGGCACATAAAGTCCTGACAGCAAATGCAGAGGGGAAGAGGGCCAATAAAAGCCAAGTGAAAATGCAATAAATCAAAAATATTAAATATTTCATACACCCACAAATGGTTGTGTAATGTGAGCATTTTTCAGTTCTACTGAAAATATGATGCGGATTAGGTGTTAACAGTTAAAAATGATTGCAGGCCTTTGTGGTGGACACTGGTGAGTTCTGGGTCCAGATGAGGGCCCACCTGTCTGCTCCAAAGGGTCCAGGACAGGCGATGTCCCAGACACACTGTTGCTGAATGTCTGTACCAAAACATCTCTTAGAAATCCTGGAGCTGGCGCTCTTTTGACACCTGGGCCCTTCTACTTTCCAAGAGGAGACAGGATCGAGGAGGCAGACATGAGTGCCTCCTGGGCAGCCTGCACACCAGAGCGCCCCAGGAAAAGGGCTTCCTTTCCTCCTCAGGGTGCACCAAGAACTCCCCTGCTCTCCTCTGTCTCCCTGGCTTCTCTCCTTCCTCTTGTTTCTATCTCATCTGAGTCGCCTTAGGGACGAACGCAATGGTGGACAATGATGTCATCTCTGAGATCACTTTGGCAGACTGGCTCCTGGGCCTCTGATAGAATTTCCCACTTACCGTGTCGCTCCTGTGGGGCATAGCTGGCCAGCCACAGTCTTGGTCCAGTCTTCCCTGCTGTGTCTCACCCTGAAGGCTGAGTCTCTTTGTTATTAGAGTCAGCCCTTTAAAAAACAAAGCAAAACTGCTTTGTTCTTTTTTCTCTGTCCCTTCCCCACGATGCACCAGCTCCTCTGGGATCTTTCAGAGGACAGCAGATGCACCCTAGCCCCAGAGCCTCACCCAAAGGGCCTCTGGTGTTGAACGGCCCCCAGCCCAGGTGTTTCTGACCCCACTCCCCACCCTGTGTGCTGCTCCCAGCCTCTGCAGTTCAGACCCAGCCACCCTTGGCCTGACCAGCTCAGCCGTTTCATCCTTTGTCTACTGACTGGCATCATTCCCATGGCTGCACCCCCAGATGCAGACACCCAACCCTGCTCACGGTGAGGACGCATTCCTTTCCAGGAGGAAGCACCTTGGGGAGGTAGGGCTGGCAGCCCCCTGATGAATGTTCTGTGCATCATGTGGCAAAGAATAGCACTGTCCTGAGCCTTAGAGGTTTTTCTTAACTGTAAAACGCAGATGGGACCTGATTGAACGTGTAGATCAAACGAGACTGTGGGTGTATAGCGCTTAATCCCATGTCTGGCACACAGTGGGGGTCCTATAGGCCCTACTCCCTGTCTCCCTTTCCTCTTTCTGGCTAAGTTGTGTCCTAGCTGTAGCATATGGTTGGGGCCAGGAACGTGATAGACCTAGGAGGCGTTCAGCACCAGGGAGGCCTGGTGTTGGCTGGGGCTGCAGTATTGCTGCTGGGTCACCTTGGCCTCACCTGTGTCACTTGCTTTCCACTCCCAAGGAGTGAGGTATCTGGATCCACACAACTCCAGTGACTCCTGATCAGCTCTGACACTTGGTGAATGAGTCACAGCAAGTGATACACAGAGATGAAAGGAGCCAGCATTGTGATCTTGGTTATGATAATGAGCTGGATGAGCTTCTCCCAGGGAAACTTGGAGATGCAGGAGAGAGGCAGGCTGCTTCTGTCCCTGCCCTGACAAATGGGATGCTAATATAAAAGGTCTTTGTTAACTCCCCCGCCCCCCCAAACACACACACCTGCTGCTCTTGGGCTGTTCTGATGGCACTAAAGGGAGAGTGGAGGTATCTTGGGAAGGTAAGCTTTGGCGGGGGGCAGGAGGTGGGGGAGCAGGGGCAGCAGCTCCAGAGGGGAGGAGCTGAGATACATGCTCCAGGAACTGTCCGGGTTTTCTCACAGATCCTGAGCAGCCCCATACCTCAGTCACGAGGACTGCTGGCTGGTCTCAAAAGGGGATCAAAGCAGGGGAGCTTCAGGCAGGTCATACTTCTCTTACAGCAGGATGATAGCTTCTGTTTGTGGAGCTCTAAGTATCAAATAGTGATAAGCACTATGTGTGTGCACATTATTCAGTTCGATCCTCATGACAGCCCTGAGCAGGGTAGTATTCCCATTTTGCAGATGAAGTAAGTAAAACGGGAGAACAATAACTTACCTAGTGTCAGAACTAAGATTCAAACCCGGGTCCATCTGCATGCCCTAACCAGACCAGGCCTTGTTTAGGGAGGAAGTGCAGTCTAAAGCATCTTATCCCCTTATTTTCTCATCTTGCTCAGGGGAGCAGGTGCGAGGTGTGTATCAGTGGAAGTCCAGCAGAAGAGATGGCGAATGTAACCGGACTGGGCTAAGGGGAGCTGGTGAGGGAGTGCAGAGCACCCTGAAGGCAACAGAGCAGAGTCATTTGGGACCTGCAGAGCGCAAGGCTGGAGGAGGGGCTGCCCCACAGGAGCGTGGCCTTCACGGGGGAGCACCATGGTCACCCCAGGCCCAGCAGGGTGTGTGAGTGAGTGGAGAGCAATCCACAGCCTTTCATCCTCACGGTCAGGTCTCCATAACTGACCCAACCAAAGGCCTGGTTGGTGCAGCCTTAGAAGTCAATCTTCCAGGTATGGGGCACAGAGTAGGGTGGGGCAGGGTGGTGAGTGGAAAGTGGGGTACAGGGAGCCTCTGGAGCTTTCTTTTTGTTATTATTTTGTGTGGGCTTTGAGACAGTGTCTTGCTGTGTTGCCCAGGCTGGAGTGCAGCAGCATGATCATAGCTCTCTATGGCCTCGACCTCCTGGCCTCAAGTGATCCTCCTACTTCAGCCTCCCCAGTAGCTGGGCCTACAGCCATGCCTGGCTGATTTTTTATTTTTATTTTTTGTAAAGATGAGGTCTCACCATGTTGCCCAGGTTGGCCTCAAACTCCTGGGCTCAAGCCATCCTCCAGCCTTGGCCTCCCAAAGTGCTGGGATTACAGGTGTGAGCCACCATGCCTGGCCTCTCTGGAGCTTTCTGAGGGACATACAGGGCAGCAGTGACACTCTGTGCCCCCAAGAGGGGGTGGGCTGGGAGGCAGAACGTGCTATTCTGCCTGCGCCCAGGGCAGCTTCATCCTTCTGGCTTCTCTGACCACCACCAGCCACGCTGGGTGCGAGAGCCCCAGGGGAGGGCCCCATTCTTTCCCTCGGGTATCCAGAGGATTTCCCACACTTGCATAGGACCTGGGGGTCAGGAGGCGGAGGAGTTAGGAAGAAGCCGCCTCTGAGAGGAGTGGGAGAGAGCCAGTAGCAGAGCTGCCTCTCAGCTTCTCACTTTCAGAAACGCACTCGATGCCACAGCCTTTTATTCTTCCTACAAATTTGTACTGCACCCTGACTGTGGGCAAGTCCAGTTCCTGCCAAGTGCAAGCTTGTGCTTAGGCAGCTGTCAGTCTGGGCACGCCCTCCAAGGCTGCCTGGCCGGATGGCAGGCTCTCTAAGCAAATGAGGAGGGGCAGTGTCAGTTCACCGGCTGCCCCGGAGGCACATTCCAGCCCACCCCAGCCCAAGGTTCCCTCCCTGTCCCGAGCCCTGTGACTGTTACTGTTAGCATTATTGCCTACAGTTATTGCCCCCCAAGTATAACCTCCCCAGGACCCATACCTAGGAGGGAGGGAACTACAGGCAGTGGAGGCCTCTGCTCAGAGATGCTCTGCCCCACACTCACCTCCAGAAAGAGAGGCAGTTCAATTACCCAACCAAGAATGCAGGCATTTTCTGTCTGCTGGGCAGGTGAGACCAATCATACCAGCTGCTTCCAGGCCCAATCCCCCCTCCCCTGGCTCAGCATCTTAGCGCATTTGTTGCTTGGCAAGGGAGGGTGGTTCCCATGACTTTCTGTTTCTTTGTTCCCCACTCACCTAGCAGCTGATGGGGAGTGGGAGGATAGTGGTCGCCTGTCAGCTTCCCTGCTGTCTTATGTGCACATGGCAGGGGTGCTGTACAGCCTGGAGGCCTGGACAAATGGAATTCAAGGGCTGGGGAAAGAGTGGGCTGAGGCCTCACCCGTCACACCTACAGGCTGCCAAGCCTGCCAGGCAGCTTAATTTGCAGGGTTCATCTCCCAGAAAGAACGGCTGCTGTTCTATTCTACCTTGGTCCTTGGGATGGAATCCTGATTGGATTGAATCCTAGGATATGTCATTTTCCCTCTGCTAGCTGCTGGTCCCAGCATCTCCCATACCTGATGGCGTGAGGTTGGACGGGAGCCGGTATTTATGCCAGGAGAGTCTGGGGCTTGGCCTGTTTCTGGGGTACTGGGGCACTGGGGCAGGGAATAGGTCTTGGCTGCTAGGTGAGGTACTCCTCATTGCACTCAGGAGCTTTCCAAATCCATAGGCCTGAAGAGAGAAGAGAGAAGATCCCATGGACCCTTGATCTTTCACCTTTTGCTCTCTGCTGTCCCCAACCTGTCATCTGTGCCACAGAACTGAGGACCTAGTTAGAGAGATAGACAAGTGAGATAGATGGCTGAGAGAGGGACCCAGCTGCCCCGCCCCCAGCCAGCCCCTGAGAACCTCCTTTTAAAATTGCTTTGCATCATATTTCTCTCTCTGCTCAGCCCCACTGGCCCCAGCAGCTCTGGCCTCCTCATCCATCATGCTGGCTGCAGGGCACCAGAGTATGTCTCACAGAGAAGCCTTTCTGCCCTGGGTCTCCAAGGGGAAGGGCTCAGCTGTCACAGAAGAGGGCTGTTTCCAAAGGGGTCAGAGCGCCAGACCCTCCAGGATTGATGGGCTATGAATTATGGATGTCGCATCCACCAGTCCCAAAGCTCCAGAGCCAGAGAGGGTATCCCTGCCTGCCTTCCTTGTTGGCCTCTTCTCTCTGGCATCCCTTTAGCGTGCGCTCATTTCATATTAGGTGCGTTCCTGTGTCAATGTTACTTGTTGGTTGCTTTGTTTAATGGACGGGGATTGTGTGCACACCCTCCCTAATCAACTGGGACCCCTGAGCATGAGGGCTGTTCGTCTTCCATGGCTAGTGCCTGGCTACAGGGCCGCGCCACCAGCCACACTTAGGTGCTTAGTGTCATGCAGTCACCTAGCCTTACGAAGAATGAAGGGTTGTTCCAGGAGTCTGTGAAGGCAGCAGTGAGTCCAGACGGTGCACAAAGTGGCCACCGGGGCCAATTTCCTCCCCGCAGCAAACAGCGTTTCACTGTGCTCTGAGCGAAGGCTGCCCCAACTCTTTCCTCCTTTACCCCCACCCCTTCCTTCCCTTGGGGTCGCTGGCTTTTCCTTCTGCTGCCCCACCCCTCTGGTTTCTCTTCTGCCTGCATCCCCGGGCCTGTCCCTGGCAGGTGCTCTCCCAAGCAGTGTTCCCTCTGCCCGGCCCCACCTCCACCTTTCTCCCCTGCCACATGCCCACGTGCTCGGATAACCCCCTCATGCCCTCCCCTGGATTCAGCTGCCCCTCTGCTGAAGAGTCCCACCTCTGTGGAATGATTTGAGGCTCTTACCGTGAATGGCTCCCTTCTCCCATCCAACTCTGCTACCTCTGTTCTCACACAGTACTCACATCTTTCTCTAATCTACATGCATCAGCCTCCTCACCAATTCCTCAGACTCCAGGTTTGTCCCCATCAATCACAGCCACCTTTCACAGAACTTCCCAAATCTCCATCTGAACCTTCTGACCAACCACCCCTCCATAAAACCCCAGCAGGAGCTCCTTTCATGCTCTGTCCCCTGAAGCCACTTCTCCTGCCCTCTCCACCCCCACCTCTGCTCATGCCACATGTGCCAACTGCTGCCTGCACAGTGCTCCCTCTGTTGAGGGCCCCCCAGTGCCTTCCTTCCCCACCCTATGCCCAGGGGCTTCCACTAGTTCTAGGTGTCCTGGTCCAGCGTCCCTGCCTTCAGGAGCCTGCTCTGGTCTCTGCCTCCTCATGAACAGGCTGCTCCACACTGGTGCTGCCATTGGCCATGTACATGCCTCTGTCTCCACTTACTGCTTTATTTATTTTATGTTATTTTATTTTTTTGAGACTGAGTCTCGCTCTGTTGCCCAGGCTGGAGTGCAGTGGTGTGTTCTCGGCTCACTGCAACCTCTGCCTCCCAGGTGCAAGCGATTCTCCCACCTCAGCCTTCTGAGCAGCTGGGATTACAGGTGCTTGACACCACGCCCAGCTAATTTTTGTGTTTTTAGTAGAGGAGATGGGGTTTCACCATGTTGGCCAGGCTGGTCTCAAACTCCTGACCTTAGGCAATCCACCTGTCTTGGCCTCCCAACGTGCTGGGATTACAGGCGTGACCTACCGCTCCAGGCCACTGCTTTGTATTTTACTGTTCTATTCCTGTACCTGTGCAACTCGCTCCCACCTCCCCGCGTTGCTGTGTGCCTCATATCTCCAGCACCTGGAGTCCCTGGCGTGTGAGAAAGGCCTCTAAATCCTGAACGAGGGAAATACATTGAATGAAGGAATGACTAGGAGTGAGCGGGTCCGGTGGGCAAAGGCTCACAGGTAGGGGTTGAAAGCGTGGGCGAATGGAGAGGCAGGTCAGAGGAGCAGCATTTGAGGTAAATGAGAAAATAGTGCCAGATTTAGCCGCAGGAGGAGAAAGGCTTTGAATACAGAAAACACCCCTTCCCTCGCTGCTCCTGTCAGCACCTTCTCAAAGCGAGGAAAATAAATCTGTTTTCCTTATGACAAAGCCTGATTTGATGATAAACCCTCTCAGCTTCCCGGGAGGTGGCAGTGACTCTGATAGGTGGGGAGGAGGCAGGAGTAGGTAAAGGAAGTGGGGGCTGGGGGAGAGAAAAAAAGAGAGACAGAGGCGGGGGAGGAGAGGGAGAGAAGGCGCTTGTTCTGTGCGCTGATTACTAATGCGGTGGAAAAGCTGGGCAGGTTCTGGAGGGAGGCCTTTATCCTGCATGAGAAAGCAGGCGGTGTGTTTCAGAAGCTATCCATAGGCACCCGCCGCTAAGCTAGAGGGAAAGAGGGGGCCGGGCAGGGTCTTGGGCTTGGCTCTGCCCTCAGCCACAGCATGAGGAGGGACAGAGCCGCTGAACTCTTGGCTCTCAGGGCCTCAGTCACTGGGGCCTCTCCAGAACAGCAAGGGGCTCTTCTCTTTCCAGGGGGCTGCTTCGTCTGCCGAGGTCACAGCCTCCTTCCTTGGGGAGGTGTTTACAGGGTCACTTGGCTTCTTTCCCTACCTTTCTGGGGGTTGCGGGGAACCCAGCCCCATTCCTGGCACCTAAAGATGGAACCTTGGGGAGGCTTCTGGGAGTCCCCGTCCCCGAGAGAGGGGTGGTGTCTTTGGGGTGGCTGGGTCTTAGCAGTGTGTGGATGCTGGGGAGCCAGGAGGCATACCCCTGTAACTTCCCTCCCTTACCATGAAGAGAAGCAGAGCCGTCTGCCACAGGGTTAGGCCAACCGTCCCACATCCCTTGGGGGGACCCTTCTCTGAGTAGCCTTCCTGTTAAGAAAACAAAAGAACATGTGAGATCACAGAGCTGCAGACTGCACCTTGGAGATCACTGAATCTTCTCTTCTCTTGGCCAGAGGAGGGACTAGAGCAAAGCAGATATGCCTGAGGCCACGCAGCTGGTTAGCGTCCAAGCGGGAGCAGTCGCCCCTTCTACCCAAATTCCAGTCTCCACAGTGCACCCCAAACAGGGGCCTCTGCTTCTCCTGTAACCCAAATCAAATAAGGCCTTCCTGCTTCTACTGAGAGGCACACTTCAAGCTGGAGACACACCCTAAAGAACCCAATATCTAACTCTAAAAGCTTTAAGACACAGTGAAGCACACCTACCTGAGTCTTCTGGAGACAGTGGCCCGATTACACCCAAGCTTCCTTCAGATGCTCTCCGTCCCCTTTCCTCAAAGCCCCACACCTTCTGGAAGCTGCTCACATTCTCCCTCCCTCTGCAGGCTCCAGCCCACGAGGGGTTCCTGCCCTTTCCCCACCACCCCGCCTCTAGGTCTCTCTTCTTTCTCCACTTCTGTTCCCCATTTCCACTCATTACCCTACGCAGGCCTGGTAGCCAAGCAACAGATCCTTCCTCTTTAAAAGGTTAAACTTGCTCTGGTCACTGTCACCCTCCAGTCTGTGAATCATGCTGCCTTTCCCTCCTGCCTCGTGTTTTCAGCATGACTAACAGGGAGAGCAGGCGGCGAGCGGTGTGCGTTTCTCAGAGAAGGATCCCGTGCACTCACGAGAGAATCCTCGGAAAGCAGGCGGCGAGCGGTGTGCGTTTCTCAGAGGAGGATCCCGTGCACTCACGAGAGAATCCTCGGAAAGCAGGCGGCGAGCGGTGTGCGTTTCTCAGAGGAGGATCCCGTGCACTCACGAGAGAATCCTCGGAGGCTTTCCTACCCAGGGCCCTGCTGCCTCTGACCGCACCCCAAGCCCTCTCTGCTGCCCACATGGGCCTCCTCTCTCCTTTGTGCTTTTCACCTTCTGTTCCCATTGCCTGGAAAACATTCCCCTCACATTTTGCATGGCTGCTGCCTTCTCATCAGGGAGGTCTCAGATCAACCATCACCACCCCCAGGAGGCCTTCCTTGGCCGCCCTATCTCATGTCACTGGCCTCCACTACCAGTCACTGCCACGTTCACTTCCTTTTGTTGCCATTTAGCACCTGTCCCTGTCTGAATTGTATCATTTATCTGCTATTATTTGTTTATTCTGTCTCCCTGAGGCCGGGGACCTTGTCTGTCTTTATTACTATGCTGACCCTGGTGCTCAGCACTTAATAAAGAATCATTAAAAAACATGAATGAAGGACACTAAAGGTGGGTCAGATTGAGGCAGGGCCTGGATCTGAGTAAATCTCTTTGTCGATGGGCCTTGCACACTCAAGGGCTCCTTCTCTACCTTGCTCAGGAAACTGAGACTCAGGATTCATGGGAGACGGGGGACCTCCTTGGTTAAGAGTTAGGACATCCCCTTCAGCCCCTGAGATGCTGTGTTCCAGGTGGGGTGTGTGCTATTGCTTCTGGGGTGTTGATGTCCCCACCTTGTCTGCCTCTGCTTCTTTGCAGGCTGTCATAGAAGTTACTTGGACAACACCATCCACCCCTGGGGAGTGGGGTGATGGGAACTTGCTTGGTGATGACAACAAACAAACAAACACTTTCCCTTTCCCACTTCTCTCCCGGTATTCCAGGCAGGAGGTAAGTGGGCAGTTCCTGGACATCATGGAAGGAATGAGGCAGTAAGTTTTGTGCTGTACCCACTTGCCCCTCAAACTGCAATGCTCTGGAATGGAGAGGAGCAGCAGAGAGGCAGGGGTGTGCCAGGCCACCTCTCTAGGAGTTCATGTTCCCATTAGAAAAAAAAACTGGAAGAAGAAGGCTGAGAGAGAGGCTCGATCAAGAGCTCAAACCTGGCCTAGAACACACTTGGGCTTGTTGTGACTCTGTTTACCAATAAGCAGGAAGGAGCCTATTGTACTCAGGGTTACAGAAGCGGAAAGAAATCCCGTGAATAGGAGCACAGGAGCCAAGAAGTTGGGTTCAGAGACAATAGATAGGAAGGGAGGGGGTGTGGGAAGGGAGATCCAGACTGGTGAAGCTTAGAGGAGAAAACCAGGTGTGCAGGGGCCACCACTTAGGAACATCAGGAGAGGAGGGGTAGAAAAGGAGCCATTTACATGGGCAGATTTCTGTAGCAGGTCTGCCTCCCCACCGCGCCGCGTAGCGAGCTGGCCTAGCACAAGGTTTATTGGGTATGTTCTATGAGCAAGGAAGTGTGAGGCAAGACATGATTCAGCAGGTGTGTCAGACACGCAGCTCCAAGGCCAGAGGGCCAGCAGGCTTTGCACTCAGGCCAAATTTGAGTATCTAGTCTGCCTCTTACTCCTCACTGTGTGACCTTGGACCAAAACTTAACTTCTCTGCCTTCCTTTTTTTTTTTTTGAGACGGAGTCTCACTCTGTCGCCCAAGCTGGAGTGCAGTGGCACGATCTCGGCTCACTGCAAGCTCCGCCTTCAGGGTTCAAGCAATTCTCCTGCCTCAGCCTCCTGAGTAGCTGGATTTACAGGCGACTGCCACTACACCTGCCTATTTTTTGTATTTTTAGTAGAGACAGGGTTTCACCATGTTGGCCAGACTGGTCTCGAACTCCTGACCTCAGGAGATCTGCCTGCCTCAGCTTCCCAAAGTCTGCCTTCTGTAAAATTGGGGCAGCACCCACCTCATCAGGCTACAATGGAGATGAAACGTAATGATGCATGTAATGCGCAGGGCAAGCATGATGTCCTACAGATGGTGGCAGGTGCTTTCTGCAGCCCACATCTCTGGCCCTGGCGTAAACCAGAGAAGATCACCATCAGCACTAGGTAAAGCCCTGCCTGGATACAGGTGCATCAACCAAAGGACCCTGAGGACTCTTTGATCCTTTGAAATATTGACTTTCTGACAGCTTCCTGTCGTTCTCTATTTCCTATCATCTCTGCAGGGATAATGCACTGATCTGCTGACTTTAAGAAGGATCCTGTTTTCGGACTGACTTCTTCAAAGGGGTAGCGTCTGCGTTGGCAAGGTGATTACAGCCCAAGCTCACAGCTGATTTGAAAAACTTCAGTCCCAAAAGACGACTTTTTTTTTCCCCTCCTCTGCAGGATGCTTTCGCTTGAAACATCTGGGTAACTGCTTAACACCTTCCTACTTTGCAGAACATTCCCAGCATGGGGGCTGTTTGCATCTTTCTGGGCTAGTGTGTTTCAAGATTATTTAGAGCCAAGGACCTCACGCACTGTGGGAGGTCCCGCTCTTCTCTGCCCACCCCATTTCTCATGCTCCCACTCCCACCCCCAACACTCCCCCAAAGGCAGAAGCTCATCTTCCACTGTATGTCCACAGGGTTAAAACCTGCCATCTTGCCTGTCTCCCAGGGCATGGCTCCTTCAGGGATGTCTTTTCTTTTTCTTCTTCTTTTTTTTTTTTTTTGAGACACAGTCTTGCTCTGTCGCCAAGGCCAGAGTGCAATGGCATGATTTCGGCTCACTGCAACCTCCACCTCCCAGGTTCAAGCAATTCTCCTGCCTCAGGCACCTGAGTAGCTGGGATTACAGGCGCACGCCACCACGCCTGGCTATTTTTTTGTATTTTTAGTAGAGACCACGTTTCACCATGTTGGTCAGGCTGGTCTTGAACTCCTGACCTTGTAATCTGCCTGCTCAGCCTCCCAAAGTGCTGGGATTACAGATGTGAGCCACCGTGCCCAGCCTCCTTCAGGGATTTCTTAGATCTCCAAGAGAGGTGCTGCAGCTCTCACAGGTGCTGGGCTCCAGGAGTCTGTCCTGGGAGGCAGAGGGCCTCTCTGTGGGAGAAGCACCTCTCCTAAGACTGCCCAGTGATCCTTGGGGGGCACTGATTATGGACAATGTGTAATTCAAAGGTCGTTACCTTTGGTTTCAGGATGGGTCAGAAAGGACTTGAAAAGCTTGGATTATTCTCTCTTCTGCGTGGACCAGAGAATGATCAGGAAGGCCTGCAGCTAAGCCAGCTTTAAAGCCACAGTATAGTTGATTTGGGCTCAGAAAGCTCAACTTGTGAGACTAGACTGATTGTGTGTCTGTATTTCCTGTACTTCCTTCCTTTTCTCCTTTACCATTTGATCCCTCTTTGTCAATGTTAGTCTGTGCTATTGGGAACAGTAGAAGAGGGTTGTGTCTTTGTTCTTAGACTAGAAATGTAATAAGATAGGGATAGGCACCACACCCCTTGGGCTTGGATATGCTTTGAGCAACAGATTTGGAGTGAGGGAACTCCACGGGGCCAGGACAGAGTGAGGTGCTGGTGTGATCAGGATATGGGGTAGTCAAACTCGGTCTTCAGACTCTCACTCCAGTGCTCACTCCCTTGCATCACAGTTCCTTTACAGGTGCCATAACAAGAAACACTTCCACTCCCTCCTGTGTCTGAACTGCGTGTTAGACACAAGAGAAAAGAATTCTGGAGTCGGCACACTGGCGCACATCTGTAATCCTAGCTACTCAGGAGGCTGAGGCAGGTGGACGTTTGAGCCCAAGAGTTCAAGACCAGCCTAGGCAACCTAGTGAGACCCCGTCTTTTAAAAAGAGAGAGACAGAGAGAGAAAAGAACTCTGAAGGCAGGGCTGGGACTGGTAGTGCCAGGAGAAAACAAAAAGCTATTTGCTCTGGTGCCTGGGCACAGAAGGAGAACAGAGAAAAAGGAGGCAGGAGTGCAGAGAGGAGGAAGGGGAGAGCAGGTGTTCTGTGTGGGCTCGTTTGAAAGGAAGTACACAAGTACATCCAGGCCATGGGTTTGGACGTGTCTGGAAGGGCTGGACAGGCCAGGTTGAAGACAAGAAGGCCTTAGTATGGGGAATTTTATTACAATGAGGCAGGAAGGAGGTGGTCCTTGGGCTTCTTTGTCACCCACAGGGAGAAGGGAGACGTGAGAGCTGTGGGGAAAGAAGCAGGCATCCTCCCTCTACATGGAGACTTTTGTCCACGCTGCCGGCGGCCACAGGAGGGAAGCGTGCGAAATGGCGGCTGCTGGAGAATGTGATGCCCGCTGGTCCAAGAGATGACCTTGAGAGAGAGGAGAGACAAAATTGAGCTGGTGTCTTGTGTGGGGGAGAGGGGAGGGGCAGGTGAGGTGGGAGGAGAAAGCTGAGAGGGAGCTAGACAGGGAGGGGGCGGGGCGAGCTGAGGCCACCTCCCCGTCTGGTCTGTCTGCCTCTGTCCTGGCCAGAAGGAAGGAGGACACAGACACGGGCATGTGGGGGTGCGACAGAGATGGGGGGGCCATGTGTCCTTGAGCCCCAAGGTTCTCCCGGGCTGAGACCTTCATTACCTCATGTGCTTCCTAAGGATACAGGCCTTGATCCTGCTGGGAGCAGGCCCTGGACTCAA